ATATATTAATATTTTTATATATTATTAATATTTTATATGTAGAATAACAAAAGGAATTGATAGATAATACTAATTTTCGCATACTAATGCAATAACGCAATGAGATTTTTTTGTATATATTTATCTTTTCTTCACAGAAATCGATTCCACTCGTTATTGTATATAAAGTAGTAAAGTAAGATCATCAAAAAATGAATATTTTACCAGACATTTCATGTTTATGTTAAAAAGTGTCAGCAGAAAATGTAAAAGGTCTCTGATAGTATTACTACTTATTATACTTATTATTAATTTTGTTTCACAATATTTTATTTTATATATTTTTAATTTAATATATTTTTATTATATTTATCTTATTTCAATACCTTTTTTTATACAGAATGTGATTTGAAAAATTGATTTATTAAAACAAAAACTATATGATGCTATATAGAACCTCGAAGTTGATCTTAACATAACTTTTAAAAAAATATTTCTTTATTATAATAATATTAGTTGCGTTCAGCAGAGAAAAACGCTCGGTGAGTGCTTTGCGCTATGCTGCCAACAGTTGTAAAATTTTCTGGCGGTCGCCATTTTTGATAACATACTTTTATTTCGCTCCACCACTCCGTAAACATGTTGGAAAAGCATAAAGCGCTCAATGTCGTTCAGCAGAAATTCTTACAACAATTCTGCTCACTGAGCGCTTTTCTCTTCTGAACACAACGATTGTCATTTTGTGCTCTCTTCAAAATCATAAGACTTTTATCTAAAACTTTTTTTCGAATAATATATTTCTTCTAAGATACTTATATGTAATATTTTATCATATATACAAGGTATCTCATATTAAACCACCAAATAAACAAATTTATAGATAGTAGAAGTCAAATCAAGACTAAAAATCTTTTTCCATTCGTTAATACGAGCAATATTTGGAGAATTATTAATTATTTAAGTTTGATGCTCAACGTACTCTAATTGGTGAAACAAAGGTAGTGCCATACTCTAAAAAAATATGAAATCCCGATTCTGATTATTGGGGGGAGGGGCTCACTAATTAATTCATGATATAGAATCAGATTTAGTGAGTTTCTTCTTCTACTAATCAGTATAGCGAACCTAGTCTATAAGATGTAATTTTGCATTTTTTTAGCACACAAAACTACTTGTACTCCGCCAATTAAAGTGCACTAAAAAAACATCAAATTTAATTAATTGATAATTCGTTAATTATTGCTCGTATTAAAAAATAGCAATAGACTTTTCGTCTCGATTTGACCTTTATTATCTGCTATTTCAATATTTGACAGTTGGACATTCCTTAGAAATATATGCCGCATACACACACGCACGCGCACACACAGACTAAAAGTGAGGTTATAAAGTGTTACAAACTAATATCTCGGAAGAAATATATTATTCAAAAAAGTCTCAAACAAAAGTTACAAAATATTAAAAGGAACATAAAATAATAATATTACTATGAATATGATGAATGTCTAGGCTTTTTCTAGGATATATATATATATATATATATATATATATATATATATATATATTTTTCAAATTTCAATTTTTTAAATAAAATTATATTTTTTTCTAAACAAATCAATTCCTCAAATTATTCTACAAAATTACTGATGTAAAATTATCGAAAAGTAAATACTTTTTCGAAGATATTTACATTTATATATTTTATATTTTATACATATATTTTACATTTTATACTCATACTTCTCAACATAAAAAATGAAATATCTTATGTAAAGTATTTACTTTTTTTGATAATCTTACTTTAATACATTTATATAGAATAACTTGAGAAATCGATTTATTTAAAGAAAATTATATAATTCGATTTGAAAAATTAAAATATTTGAAATCTTGAAATCTTAAAATAACTTTGAAGAAACATTTCATTATCACAATAATATTATCCTATTTATACTTTCCTCGATATCTTGTAACTTTTATTTGAAACTTTTCTCAAATAACGCATTTCTTCCAAGATATTAATCCATAACATTTTATATACCTCACCTTATGTATATATATGTATGTGTGTGTATATAGGATGTTAAAAAAAAGATTTGTGACTTACAGGATAAATAGTACTCATTGTATAAAAAATCAACTATTTCAGAGTTACAAATTTTTTTTTCTTTTTTTAGTAATGCAAATAATGTATTTCTATTGATCATATACATAATAAACGAACAAGTATTTTACTATATTATTACTTTGATATTTAGAAAAGATATTTGTATATCCTCTTTCAAAATTTTCTAGTTTTCTTCGAATCAGCTCTATTTCTATATAATAATATTTACGTTATCATCTTGCTTCAATACAATATAGTCATTTGCTCTCTTATGAACAATAATTGTACAATATTCAAGGAACGCAATAGCAAGAACCTTTTCAATTATATGAATCGAGCTTATTATTTTAATCGAGAAATAGCAGACATGTATTCCATGTATGATTTTGCTAATGGGTAACATACACGCAGACACGCACGCATACGCACACGCACATACACACATACACACACACACACAGTAATACACACAGAGATGTTCATTCACCGTACATGAGCAATGGAAGCACATAAATAATTTACGTTATCAAAATCGAAAAAGATTTGTAACTTTGAAAAGATTGATTGTTTATGTTTAATGTTGTTATGTTGTATGAATCTATGTTTATTAAATATTTTACTCAGTATAAAAAATACTATCTATCCTGTAAGTCTTAAACCTCTTTTTTAATATCATATATATATATATATATATATATATATATATATATATATATACAGGGTGTAAAAAAAATTAGATCGACAAACTTTGAGGAAAAAAAAAAGAAAATATAAAAACAAACATATTTTGTTAATAATGTTTTTCTCTACGACGCTTTGTTTTAATACTACAGGGTACAAAATAGGAATTTTATGATTTTAATAAAACAAACATATAAGTGGAAAAATTAAATTTATTTCAATTACACATATATATTTTAATCTTCAAAAAACAATGAACAAAAGAACGGAACAAAAATGCGCAATTGATTAGCTCAATTTATAATAAATGTTCAAAAATTCCTCCATTTGCTTCATACATACATAATATGTATGTATGGAAAAATGTTTAATATAAAAGTTGTAAGTTTTTGAGGGGGATAATATAAAAGACTACTATTTGTCTGACCTTAGATAGAGGCGTTAGGATCACGCCAAAGTCAACTTGAATTTTTTAAATAAAATATCCTACTCTTTATTGCATATTCTTGTAGTTTATCTTCAGAGCTTTCCAAAACACTATAATAACTTATTTTTTCATTAAGTACTTTTTGAATAATGGAACTTGAAAATTACAGTACCGCCGGCATTAGCATTATAAATTGAGCTAATCAATTGCGCATTTTTATTCCGTTCTTTTGTTCATTGTTTTTTGAAGATTAAAATATATATGTCTAATTGAAATAAATTTAATTTTTCCACTTATATGTTTTTTATTAAAATCATAAAATTCCTATTTTGTACCCTGTAGTATTAAAACGAAGCGTCATAGAGAAAAACATTATGAACAAAATATGTTTGTTTTTATGTCCTCTATTTCCCCTCAAAGTTTGTCGATCTAATTTTTTTACACCCTGTATATACTCTCTATAGTCCTTTACTTGTAACCGAGTGTGGTGACGTCTCTTCATATGCCTGTGGAACGCACGCTAATTATACACAGGCATATTGGACCTACAGTTTAATGCTGATTCTGAACGACAAATGATGTTCAATATAATAGATAATTCTGAGAAGTGTTCTTGGCAAAGATACTCGATGGTTTACCTCTTCCTTCCGAGAAGAACACGAACGTATGAAAATTTTTTCGGTTCTGCCGGGAATCGAACTCGGGACTTCTAGCATGATAAACCAGTGCGCTGTTTGCCGTGTTACGCTTACACATGTACAGGATGTCCCAGATTTTCTTTCTCACATTAAATGGTAATGTAGAATGGCTTGAAGTGAACATAAAATATGCCGTTTTACGATATTCGCAATAATAACCGAAAAATTAATTGTAAAAGATTAAGCAGAAACACACACTGAATGGTTGAGGGAGGAACACTCGTGGTCTAACAATATAGCGGATGTCGGCTCGCGGTAATTGGAAAAACAAACGCACCATTACCATATATATATCGCTGCACTCCTACATCTCGCTTCGGCGCGGTGCAGCAAGACGTAGAATCATAGCGATATAAGACGCACGCTGGCATCTGTCTACTATATTACTGGGTCACGAGACTCAGAAAATGTGAGAATGAGAGTTTGGGACACCCTGTATATACACACACATATATACATATATATATATATATATATGCATATACACATGCACGCACGCATGTATGTATACATATGTAAACGCGTAAAACACATAATGAGGTGAATATGCGAAAATGAAATTTCAATTAATGAAAGCTATGAAAGCCACAGTTTCTGATGATTCGTGCGGAGAGTAGTTCATTAACGCTCGAAGGGCTTGGTCTCCACTGCTGACTTCCGCTGAGGTCACGTTCAAACTATCTAGAATTAGAGAATGCCTAGAGACTCCTCTAGACTCTCAATTTCGATATCTCGCAAAGCCATGCGATTAAGGCACTTTTCACAACGGACGATTCTTTCTCGGCAAATCAGTCTTGTGGCTCAAAATATGATCGCGTGTTGTAGAATACGGAAAATATCATATTTACATACGTGTTATGATTTTCTTTTTTCTCTTTTAAAGAAGGCACCGTAAATATAAATCCGATATGATTGTCATCACTCATAACAAAGGGTTTGTCGCAAATGTTTAGAATCAATTTGACTCTTCTTGAAGTGTGTCGTAAAATATGAAAATTTAAACACACGTATTTTTCTATACGTGCCTGTTTTGAAATTTACGAGATAAAAAGCCCTTCAAAATTAATACGGTGTATATTCAGGATGGATATTCATCAAAATCACTAGATACAGTAAAAAATGTATTAGACGAAAATTTTGTGTGCTTTACAACTATCCGCTTAAACTTTTCTATGATATAATATTATCTAATATGTGTGTATGTGTGTGTGTACACACACACACATATACTTTCACTTCATACTATTGTATGTACGTACATACGCGCGCGCATATTCACTCATTCGTTCTCATTCACTCATTTGTATCTACAACAGCCTTTTGTTCACTTTCATATGGTACAAGTTACGATCACCCATTTCCTTCCTTGCCCTTCCCCCTTATCTATCTATCTATCTATCTATCTATCTATCTATCTATCTATCTATCTATCTATCTATCTATCTATCTATCTATCTATCTCTATCTTATCGGCACCTTTGTAAAGACACGCATGAATCACACGCGACATATGTTTCGCACGCAACTATACATGATCACGTAGTACGTGTGCACGCACTTTTACGTACAATTGATTTCGGGTTCCCAAGGAATCTGTCAAAAATCAAGCTAGAGTGGACAACTTTGAGATTGTTCAAAGATTCTGGAGATTAAAGTCTGCGAAATACCATTTAATATTACGTAATTCCCTACTACTTTGAGAAATTTTACGAGAGAATCAGTATCTCAATCTTCGCGCTATATACATTTTACCACGCTTTGAAATGCAAATAAAAGAAGGATACACCGCATTAAGAGCCGACATCGATGTTTAAAATGATATTAATATTCAAATTGAGTATCGTTATTGAAAAATTAATTACAAATATGCTATTTTCCATAAATAATCCCGTACATATAGCCATTGTAAATTCATATTTATTATTGTAAAGATAATAATATAAAGGTAATACATAATATCAAGGTATTTCTTAATTTTCCCTTTCAGCTTGTCGGCTCAATTAAACTCAACTTCATCTTCGAAAATAAACGTTCTGACATGGAGAGAAGAGTTGAGATAAAATCTTCCAGATATTTATCGGGATATCACTTCAAATAATTTTAAATATCTTACTTAAATCATACCACATATAATCTTCAGAAATATAAAAAATGGCCATTTCAAAATGACCGGGGTCAAAAGATCAGTGTGTAACGATTGTAAAATTACGTAAATAATGACAGCGATAAGCATAATCGAGTAACGATGTACCGATAAGCAAGGGATACGTGATTCAATACAACGAGTACGATATTAACTTTTGCACATACACATATATATACATAATAACGCTGAAATGTGTCATGCACGACATGAGAAACGATGCATTAGTCAATTTTTCATTTTTCCGGAAATAGTAATAAATATTCATTACTTGGTTGATTAACATGACGCTTCTTATCACGCACCTGATGCATCGCCGCATACTATGTATCTATACCAATGTAAAGAAAAACGAAATAATAAAAAAAATAGAAAGAAATTTTGTATAAATCAATGGTATTTTTATGAATAATTTTTCTTTTATTTTTTAATATATTTCTCCTCAAGTGCATAACAGTGCGATATCGCGTTAAAAAATATGAAATTTATAAAGAATAGAAATTTACACAATGAGGATAATTAAAAGCAAAATATCGATATCTAATCGTTGATATATCGACATTCTGTCATAAATGCTACGAATTATAGTACATTGAACGTAATATCGGCACTCCGTCGACACACGTCTTAATTCTGTTTATTTTTATTTATTTGTACAATTGACTAATCGACTTCGTTACATCGAAACAAAGTTTGTTACGACTCTCACAGTCCATCACCGACCGTATACATAGAGAACTGTAACAATTTTTCGTTTTATAACTATCATTTTATGGTACGTAATTCGCTTAGTACACACATTATGAACTCAACGTTTGATTTATATTACATTTCGCATCGTTGAATTTTATCTTTTGTCTATGTGGTACGCGATATCTCTCAACTTCACCCTTCTGTCACAACGCAATTTTAAGATAAAAATTCAGATCTACTTTTCGCGAAGTTTTGTATCGAAATGCCACTATTTACTTTTACACGAAAAAGAAATGAAGAAAGAAACATATATAATGAGAAAACTTCTCAGGAATCTTCTCTATTATAGAATCACAGCCTTCACATTCAAACCTCGAGAAACTTTGTTCGTATATTTCTCTTCTCTTCGCTCGTTTGACATGGCGCATTCCTCGGGTACCCCGTTACCAAGAATTCCCCTGTCCTTGGCCGCATCACTGTACACGAAACATAATATATACAAATGTTCGTCGAATCTATCTTAATTCTGGGTCCTTTGAGGCCCGCCAGGCGCGTTCCCATCTGGTAGCAAAAATATCCGAACACATATGACCTCTGTAGGTTCTTACGAGGCATCGTGCACCTGAAATCGGCGAATCCGCGCCTGCACCGACTCGCACTGCACTTCGCAATACCTGGTGTACCTGCCGGCTCGGACGGGTTCCCTAATGACCACCAAGTTGCCACTTCGCTCTCGAAGTGCTTCAAGGCCGGCAGTTCTACCGCGCACCGTTGTCGTCGCCGCCGTCGTCGTGGTCGTCGATGTCATCGTCGTCGTCGGAGGCAACGTCGGGATCTTTGTAACCTTAATGCTGGACGTTTCCGACGTGAAACGGCTGAGAGCCTTGCTGACGACACCGTTGCACTCACGCGGCCATGCCCTGCTACTACGATTCTGATGATGCCTCTGTTCCCATCTATCGACGGTCGAGTCGGCGGCGGTAAACGGAAAGCTCGCTCTGCTTTGGCTCTTACCGTACAAGATGAAGTCCAGAGAGTCGTCCGAGTAGATACTGCTACGATCGCTCGAGCTGTCGGTCGAGATCTCGGAGATGGTGTCGCTGCCGCTGTCGCTGCACTGCTGTTCTTCACCAAGAATAAATACGGGCGTGCACTTGAATACTTCCCCAGCTGGCATCGTATGAGTAGCGGTAGCACGACGCTGCGTACCACCACCGATGGCACCACCGCTGGCGGCGGCGGCAACAGCCGCGCGCGCGCCTTCGCTCCCGCTTGCAGCCACGCCTGACATCATCGACTCAATGATGACGATCTCCGTGGCAGAAAACTTACGCGCCAGCGAATCCATATTTCTCTTGAAAGTATCCCTGCGATCCGGGCTCAGACCGAATCTAATGGGCTTAGGCGACGACTTGGATGGCGACCTGGACTTCGTGTAGAGATTCTCCGTGTGTGAGGAGACGGCGCGACTTGTCACTTGTTTGGAGTCTGCGCTGTGACAGGAGCCGCTCGAGCTAGAAGAACGTTGCTTCTCAGTGTCGCTCTTCGGCGTAGATGATGATGTGGATGTTTGGCCGTTAATGATGGCAAGCTTCTGAGAAGAAGAAGGTGGATTGGAGGAAGAAGAAGAGCCAGAACTCTCGTCTGATCGCGAGGTCACCGTGGGGAAGTTCGCATTGGAACTGTCATCCGAGGTGGAACACGTGGACAATGGAAGCGGCATCGGTGGCTGCTCGAACATGCTGAACCAAGGATGTTGGAGACACTCAGTCACCGTCAGGCGTTCACTGCGAACAGACAAAAGTTGCTTACTAGAAAGAGGTACGATTCGCGCGGATGCAATCGATGGCGTGTCCTCCGACAACGTGTGAGATGCGTTTACGATAGTCATCTCAGAACGTCAACGTGCAAGAGAGACTCCAACGACTCATTCACTTCGGTTATTTTCGTACGACCCTCTTAAACAAATATATCTTGACAACAGCCTCGTTCCGCGAACGACTCGTTCTCGTCGTCCTCGTTAACTCGAGCGAGCGAGAGTCAAGGGGTTAAGAAACCCGTCGCATAACGACCTCCGCGAACGGGCGGCGCATTATCGACAGTGGCCATCGTTGCAGCGGTTTCATCGGAACGTTTTCACGCGGTTATCTCGTACCGTGCGTGCACCGTATACGCTGTATGCAGCCTGCGTGAAACGTTATGTACCCATCGCTCCATTTCCGCCACGCAAAACGGTGCAGGATGCTGCTTTCAATAATGGAGCGACAAATTGCATAACGCGTAACCGTGGAGGAATGCTGGCCTATCAAAGATCCGCCCATGTTTCAGAACAAGGTTCCTTTAGACCTGCGAAATTATCGAATGTGAGCGAGAAATTTGTTCCGTTGCATTTAGGTCACGAAAAAGGCGAAACATCGATAACGGCTGTGACAAAGCGGATCGACATAATTTCCATGAAACTATATAAAACAGAAAAAAGATCAATAACTTTAATAGGAAAATTCTCGGTGAAAAGCAGTTAACGCGATAATTATGCTGCGATCGCGATAAATCGTTTTATAAGGTAAGGTTATGCAAATCGCTGCGCTGTCATTAACATAATAATCTGACAATTAGTCCCGCGATTGCTCACACAACTTAAACGAGTAAATAAATAGTCGAGTGTATAATTAGAATACATTAATCCAGAGACAAATGACGTAACAAATAATTAAATCTGAAATCACTTATGTAGCGCGATACCAAGCTCTATGTGTTTTTCAAGATCTTTCAAATTTACATGTAACACGGTTCTCCCGGCGATTCACTAAATATGGTATTTCGCAGGTCGACGGCAAAGGAGAGACCGCTCCACGTAGTGAAACGTGACGATAAATCGTTGTTGCGGGCTGCACGATAAAAGCCTTCACTTCGCAGAGAGGAAGAACGCGGATATTCCGGATAACAACTTCCCCTCAGCTGCCGAACGATAAGGGAATCTATGAGTTTTTTTGACGGAATTCCGCTCGATTGCGTCGCTCTTCCCGTTTCGAAGAAAGTCGGAGCGACGTGGCGCCGGTTGTTTTTCTCGCAACCGACGGACGAAGGCCAATGATCGATCGATGACAGTTTCTACTTGCGAGCAAGCGAGTTAATTAATACATCTCAGTGGAATCACAGTATCGTCATTGTGCACGGCTAATCCACAAAGTATTAAGGCAGGCGCGAAACTAACAACAATACGAAACACAATTTAGAAATAGAGAACTCAAATAAAACGATTGAGAGTTTTAATGTGATAACATTCAAGTCATAAAGAATGCTTATTTATAAGATGAGCGAAAAATGTCACGCTATCGAAGAGGAATCAGAATAAACGGTCCAATTGAAACATTTGTCGCTCTATCTAAATTTCTTGTAATAAAATTTATTAAATTAGTCAAAGAGTAGAGTGACAGCCGCATCACTCTTCTTGAGGGAATATTTTTACTTGAAATCTTGAGTATTTCACTGCAGGAATTTCGCAGGAATAAATTCACTTTAATCGACTGAAACATTCACGCATATGCGGTCAGAATTTACTTTAAGCTTAACTCTTCAGTGAGTGTGTAGTCCAAGTGTAAACCAATGCCTTTTACGAAGTTACCATTTTTTTCCCAGTGAGAATTAAAGCTACTGTGTCCTCACCGCTATCATTCTGATTAATGACGTCAGAAACAAGAAAACATACTCAAAATTTGTGCAAAGAGAGAATATGTCGAAATAAAAGGTTATGTTCAGAAAATAACACTTGTGGTCCAGTGATCACATTTATATTCCGAAAACTTTCCTTTTACTTTAACAATTAATAAATAGCTATAAAATTAACGTGACAAAATCATGAGGAAAAATAGGATCAATTATATCAGTGCAATAATACGTTCATGTAATTTTTTTAACCTAATCTAATTTAACCAAATTTTATTAAGTAGGTTAACCAAGTCACAATTAATAAGTTTAATTTATTATAGTAATTATATTATTTAAAAAAGAAAGATTGCATGCCACGTTATTCATTTTACGGTTATTTATTAATCGTTAAAAAAACAAAGTTTCAGAATATTTTACAAATATGCTCGATATTTTACAAATCGATCAACACAAAAACCCTACAAAACCACAAAACTACTTTATGAATGTGTCCTTTTATTCCTACAGAAACTACAAAAATCACTTTATGAATGTATCTTTTTATTTCAGTGTATTTTGCAAGAATTTTGGACATGCGTTTTCTCATTTGTGACGTCAATCAATCGAGAATTCCTCAACGAAAGAACAGTGTAGTTCTGTAACTCGTTGACGTCATGTAGGTATAACACACGCTATAAAAGACACACGCAACGACACACAGTACTAGTGATGTTACAGTTGTCGTTAACGGCAGTTAACAAGTTACAGAATCGCACCTCAGATGCCTTAAATTTTCCCTTCTAAATAGAGATAGGCAGATCAATCAATATTGCCCTACGAAGTACTCGTAGAAGTTTTAAGAGTAAATTAATTTAAACCTATAGGGACCGCAACATCGTGATCTATTGTGGTCTATAGATCAAACGCCTAAAGATACAAAACACGTGTCTAATGAAAGAGGTTAGGTGAACTTCTCTCTTACAATTCTAAGTGACAAATTTTGCTACCGTTTTGAGTGATTTTTCTCGTTTTAAATATTTCCAAAACATTTATAGAATACGTTTACGAACGCTAGATTTTGAATTTGCATGAAAAAAAAAAGGTGATGAAAGCAAATTCCATTTGATGAATAATATTCGTTCGAACAAACATCAAGTCAATCGAACAAATGATATAATAACTATAATAAATTAAACTTATTAATTGATTCAATAATTGCGACTTGGTTAATCCGCTTAATTAAATTTGGTTAAATTAGATTAGGTTAAAAATTACATGAACGTATTATTGCACTGATATAATTTTTAGCAGACATGATATTTGTTAATACGAGAATGAGTACCCACTCACTTTGTCGAACCAACTCTCTTTTTCCTCTAATGTGGTATTTACGCGCTAATATCTGCGAGTCGATCACTCGCTAACTTTCATATACTTTTTCAGTCAATTAAAACTCATATATATATTTGCACAATCGTTCTTTTTAATTTACTCATACATACCGCTTTTATTCGCTTTTGTGTAATATCGCGAACTAATAGATGAAGACCGAGACTAAAAATGAAAATTTGTTTAAGATCGAGATTAGAGAGGATTCGTTAGTCCAAGGATCTGTGATAAAAGAGCGACGGCCAGTCAAGAATTCACAGGCGTACCGAGGACAAGCTCGCGGGAACGCAGAGCCGTCCTCGCGCGATGGCTTTCTCTCGTCTCGAAGTGGCGCGCAATTAGATCTCGAAGCTTGGGTCTGCGCTGACCTACTAATTCGGAATCGCCAAGCGACGAGCTTAATGAATCGTTCGTTACTGTTCCCATTGCTGATGCTGTCATCCTGACGGTTGCACCGTCGCGGAATATCGCGTTGCAATGATACGTCTGCGTGACGCGATTGTTTTCGTTCCGGGAAATCAACCGGCATACCGACATAACTTAACAATGTAGTCGCGGGCACGAGCGCGTTCAAGTACTCCGAGCTATCTCTTTTCGCTTCGAGGTAAATGCCGGACCTTCTTGGTAGGTCGCCGTAGCCTTCTGTGAAGGAATTATTTTCACCGGTCCAGGAATTTTCTCGCGCGGGTTCTCCGATAATACGGCCGATACTTCCTCCCCCTCCTCCTCCTTCTTCATCTTCTCCTCTTCGTGCTCTTCATACTCCTTGCGGGATGTTCGACTTGCCAAACGAGTCATCTCGAGTTGACGAGTTAAATGCTTCAGCCAAGAAATACGATGGAGAAATTACGGCAAACGTGGGTGTAACGTCATCCGCGGCGACGTTTCGATCGTGTCGGAATAACGGGTAGAAATCTTTCGGTCGAATTAAGTGGAGTATATGGAGATAAATGGCGACCGAGTGATTCGTAATGATCGCCGAATAATAAATCTCACCGTCTGACCCCTGTATATCGGTTACCCACCATACATGTGTGTTTTTAATAACATACGAATTGAGTTGCTCATGATTATTGTCGTTCTTTTGCTTCGATTTTCGCGGCAGTGCATGCTTATCTTAAACCGATGCCTCTACACCGTACTACAGCTAATGTATACTCGCAGTCCGATTGTTTGCTATTTTTTGTGAGTATCGAAACTCATGATCTTATTCAATAGGAGAATTTGTTTTCCAACGGGAGAATTCTACCACTGAACAAGACGAATTCATTCCGGAACTCACAAAAATAGCGGACGACCTATCTGGCTGTAAATATATGCCAATATGACATTGATTATATTGACATTGACTGTATATACAGAATGTCCCAAACTCTCCACCGCAATTTTTACGGGAACGTAAAACGAATTGAGATGAACATAAAAATCTCGTACCGTTTTGCGATATTCGCAATAAATCTCGAGATATTAATTAAAGAAGATTAGTGGATCACGCGCGATATGGTAGATGAGCTGTAGTGGCACCTGTAGTTATATTTATAGAGGAAAGTAGCCAAAAGCGACATAGGTCTCCTTGGCGACATATCTTTATATCTCCCATATATTAAATGTTATATTTTATCGAAACTTATATAAACGTAATTCGTTTTATCATTTAAGTCATGAAAAATTCATACTTGGTATATTTCTTGTTCTTTTATATTTAAATTAGCAAATATATTTTATAGTTAAATTAGCAAATATCGAGTTTTAGAAATTCGCAAGTTTTATTTTTATGATTTTTATTGGCGATTTACGTAGACTAAACAGCGATAATTATCTTTTTGTTCAATATTAAGTTCTTCTACATGCATTTGGCTTTGTAAAACTATTTTTTAAATATTTTTATCTTCATCACTTTTTTACTACATAACTTGAAAATTTTTATGAGAATGTGTCTTAAAGTGACATACCTCTACAATATGCAATAGGTGCGATACTCTGTGACTAACATAACCTGATTCTAACCTCCCATTGTGACGTGACATATCGTATTGTATATATTTAATTTTGTTTAGTTTAAAAATATAACATATGTAAAATATGTGAAAAATTAAAAAGATGGGAATGCCAAAGATATGTTTTTATTTAATTATATTCCCCTTTTGCAACATTATATTTTGAATAAATGCATATTATTATATTCAACCATTAAACGCATTAATGAATTATTTATTATCAAATATTATCACATGCAACATATTATATAACTTCCAATAGGTATGTCGCTTTTGGCACCCATTTCCTTTGAACTCCATTTTCGTGTATTTTACAAAAACATTTTTCATTTTAAATCTAGAAATAATTTCAGTAAAAATATGATATTGTCTGATAGGGGGTACTTCCAACTACACACACACACACATGCGCGCGCGCACACACACACATATACACAGTGTCTGAGACCACTCGGATACCTCTTTTATCTCGAAAATAGAGCATTTTATAAAAAAACGTCTCAAAGAAAAGTTGTATGGTTTCGAGGTGTACATAAGATGTCATTGATTTGACCTTGGATGACGCCGCCAAGGTCAACGTCAACTTTGTTTTTTTAAATAGAAATATGTATTTTTTATTACGGAATTTTATTCTATGTAAAGAAACAAACAGCTTTTATTTGAAAATTTTTTTCATACGACCCACATTTTTTAAGATATTTACGGAAATATCTACAGAATTATTGGTTTCAATATATTTTTACTCGAATTCTATCAACTTTACCGAAAAATGGTAAGAGATAAAAATTGCTCATTTTCTTCTCATCTTCTCTAAGAATTTTTTCAGAATTTTGTATAAACTTTTTAGTACTACATTTTCTTGCATTTTCTTGAAATACTAAAAAGTTGATTAAAAATTCTGAAAAAATTCTTAGAACCCGATGAGAAGAAAATAAACAATTTTTTATCTTTTGCCATTTTTAGGTAAAGTTGATAGAATTCGAGTAAAAATATATTGAAACCAATAATTCTGTAGATATTTCCATAAATATCTTAAAAAATGAGGGTCGTATGAAAAAAATTTTCAAACAAAAGCTGTTTATTTCTTTACATAGAATAAAATTCCGTAATAAAAAAAACATATTTCTATTTAAAAAAGCAAAGTTGACGTTGACCTGACCTTGGCGGCGTCATCCAAGATCAAATCAATGACACCATTTTATGTACACCTCGAAACCATACAACTTTTCTTTGAAACGTTTTTTTCTAAAATGCTTTATTTCCGAGATAAAAGGGGTGTACGGGTAGTCTCAGACACCCTGTATGTATGTATATGTGTGCGCGCGCGCGCGCGCGCACGCACACACACACACACACACACACATACATTTATATTTTGAACTTTATATCAAGACATAACCTCCAAAAACAAAGTAATATGTCGCTTTTGGTACCTTTATTTTACATTGGATAAACCGAACAAAAAAGTCTATCATTTTGCAAATGACCACATTTTTAGATATTAAACAAAGAAAACATTATCGCGCACAATCATGTAACATTTTCCTTTCACTAACAATTAAACATCTATGTAGTCATTTGCAAAAAAGGACTTTTTTATTCAATTTAATCTAATGTGTAAGTATAACGGCAGACGGCGTTATACTACAGCTCATCTACCATATCGCGCGTGATTATTCACCAATCTTCTTTAATTAATATCTCGACTATTATTGCGAATATCGCAAAACGGTATAGGATATTTATGTTTATTTTAATCCGTACTACGTTCCTACAAAAATTACGGAGGAGAGGGACACCCTATATAAATCTCTTGACCTTTTTTTGTTGCAATGAACTTTAACCACAGATATCTATGCTAAAAAGTAGACTGCGAACTTGTAACAAGTTTCCATTAGTAGCCGTTCATAAATAAAAAGCTATTTTTTGAGGACGTATATATATATATATTGCTTTGTGCAGCAAAAAGGTAAATTATTTTCTTTCTGTGTGAATTTTTGATCTTAACACGATATTAACTACGAATGTTGAGACAACATTGGCCCACATTTGCTATATCGAGCTGATATTAAGCTCAAAGTTCGTTAAAGAACTACAACTTACTTCGGATCCTTAACCATGAGTTTGCGCATGAGATCGCGTGCCTCCTCGGACACCTCCTCGAAGAGATCGTCCGGGAAGTCCAGTCGACATCTACTAATGTTGTAGAACGTCTCCTGCTTAGTGTCGCCACCGAAAGGTGAGCATCCTGTTAACAGCACGTAGAGCAGCACACCGACGGACCACATGTCGGTCGCTAGGCTGATTGGCTCGTAATTCAGAACCTCCGGGGCTGGAACACACATACACAAAAGACAAACGAATTATGATGGGTAGGTAAGTTCTCTTCTTGCTAGGTACATTAAACCTTAATGCCCTCGCCATGCGCGAGGGTAAGTCGCGGTAATTAAATTCGAGAAAAATAACGCCGTTTCTCATAGGACGCGCAGCCTTTCTGCTGCTACTACGTCGCGGCTGGTCATTACATCGCGCCGCGGCACTTAATGGAGAACCACGCATTCTTCAACGGGATAATAATAATCGTAACCGTGGACATATTAGGGCTCCACGAGTAATCACCGCGATACACACGTAGCGAGTCGCGTAATAACGCTAACCGTGCTCGAACTGCCACTTTGTATCGGCTCGTTTCCGACCAAATTGCGCACGCGCATGCCCGTTTTTCTCAGCGTTCCAGCTTAATCGCCGCATAGAGATCCGTGGGGCTGTTTTGCCGCGCGAACAGTTTCGCTAACTCTTGCTAATGATCTCAAAGTCAATGCACTAATTGGTCGATTAAGATTTACGACTGAATAAAAGACGAGCAAAACGCTTTCCAGCCAAATTACGGTCAATTCCACCCTCTTTTTATACGCAATATTATGACACGTCATTTGAAAGTCATATTTCGGCTAATCTTTGTCGCCTATGCATGCGCGATTCTTGAAACCACGGTTTTTCCAGGACTACATCAGGTCAATCAACCTCGTATTCGTCCGAAGACTGGGATAGCTCAAAACTTTTCATTTGCCCCCTTAAGGGGATTCTCTCGTTACTCGGTATTACCTAACACCTATGTCCACTTGAGGCAAGACTGTTAGACGGTAGCGCGACGTAATTACGATGGTGATCGCAAAGTTCGTAAAAGGGCTTGCCAAATAATCAGACCAGCGCAGCCGGTCCTAACCGCGAAGTGACTTGTTCTGTCCGATTATGCAACGTGGCTGTTTCCCTTAATGGAACTACACGGTACGAACAAACCATGCCTCTTTGTGGCATAGTCGACGAGGTCGAAAACGTGAGACACGCAAAAGTCGCGATCAACTTTCGAGGTTAGGATCAGCGTATGCGCTATCGCAATTGCGCGACTACAATCAACACTATTCTTACTTACTGTCGCCCTTAGCGACGCGAGTCGGAAGTATCGGAAATATGCAAAGATCAAATACGTTCTCATATCTGAATATTCATGGATTAGCACATTAGTTCTCCGTACGTCTTACGCTGTAAAAAATCTTGCGTCCACAGTACGTAAACAAATGGTCCAAAAAGTCTAACTCTAAATTTTGTGTCGAAAATAACTCATTCATATGTTCAATCGTGTGTTATTTACATTATGTAGACTAGTGCATAATATAAATAACACACGAATAAACATATGAATGAGTTATTTTCGACACAAAATTTAGAGTAGACTTTTTGGAACATTTGTTCACGTACTGTGTACGTAAGATTTTTTACTATGTAATCACGGTAAAACGACATATTCACATGAAACACGACATATAATGATGCTTAAGCTTAGTTTTATGAACAAAACTTAACATAACATTTTCATAAGACCAGAAAACTACTTGAAAATAGTAAATTAACATAAGAAATTATTTATTAATTAAGGTAGTTATTTCATAAAAATATTTCATAATTAAGATAATATTTCATAAGATAATTATTTTGTAAACAAATTCTTTTAAGAATCTTTTCAAATTTGAACAGTATATTAATCGAAACACGATCGATACATATGTGCAATTAAAAAAATATTGCACAGAAAAATGTATCCTTGACTTACGTATATTTTTATTCTTGAACGCTATTTTTGCTTCGTTTAAGCATGAAATGTTCTCTTCAATTAGAAATGTTTACTTACAACAATAATAAATAAGTTTATACGGAGTATATTTTATTCTTAAGATAGTATTCTTGTGTGTGTTTCTAAAATCGTAATATGATTATAATAAATCTAATCACACGATTTTAAAGCTATTTATTCTTGGATTAAGAATTACATATTTGAAAGTGCGCTTCACTTACACTCGAAAGTCACTTGTTTCGTGTTATCCGACAATAATGCGTATAAGTCTAATACGCACATGTACAGTCGACTGGTATCATTGCGGGTGTGCTCATCAAGATGCACTTGGACACGGTGCATTTGGACACAGCCAATCACAGCACTGTGTGATTAGAGACATTTGTAGGGTCCCTTGGAACAGCAACTTGTGATTGGACTATGTCCAATTGCCCCGTGTCCAACTGATATACACCCGACACAAACAGATGCAAGTGACGAGTTTTTAAGTGATATATTACATTCATGGAGCATGTCATCAATTATTCAGATTTTTAAAGGTAACTGAATATTTAGCACATTCTATCGATATTTTTGTCGGGTACATTGCAAATAAACGTTCCTTAACCTTAAACCATTAATCTTCGGGCGGCGGATCCGAACGATAACGACTCAAACCCGAAACCAAATTAACAATTAATGTACATCGCGAATGCCTCAAATATCAAGTCTTTACTTATTTCTCTAACAGCACCATACGTAGTAAGTATTAGGTGGTAAACTTAGTTCCTGCGGCTCACAGTTAGTTGTAGGTGTAATTTATTTTGACATCTGAAACTGGCTGCATTTTAGAGGTTAGACATTAGTCAATAAAATTCAGTGCGAAGAGATTCATTTAAGCGAGCAGTGCTATTTTTTCTTTTGATTAAATATGGAACGTGATAAGTTGTTTTTTCGACATGTGCTGCTTCATTACTTTGACTTGAAAAAAACTGCAGCTGCAGCTCATAAATTGCTTTTCGAAGCTTATGGCAATTATGCTCCATCGGAAAGAACATGCCAAGTATGGTTTCAGCGATTTAAGAGTGGTGATTTTGATGTCAATGA